CCCCCCCCTCCATCACAGGAGACGGATAAGCGCCAAGGCGTGTGGCGGCCGGAAACGCCAAAAAACTTTTCAATCCGTTTTCTTCTCGCCCCCTCCCCCTTCCCCCTGACTCTTCCCAACTTGCGGGGGTGGCGATCAGAAGCCCAGCGGCCGATAAACTACACCGCCGAGCTGGCAGCCGGCCGGCGGGCGGGATAGGCGGGGCTGCCCGAGCTGCCGGCCTGCCTTCTCTTTTGGCTGCCAAAACTTTTCCCGGAGGCCGAGAGGCACGCTACTTTGACACTAGCCGAGTCCCGCCCAGCAGCGTGAGTGGCGGGCGCCGACGTGATACCGACACCGCTGCCGCCACCATGCGCGCGCCCGCCCGACCGTGCGTCCGGTTGCCTTCATCACAGAGAGGTCGCTCGCTGCCAAAGACTCCCCGCCCGGCGCAAGTAGTACAAAAGTGAAAATGCCCCTTCTGTACTGTACAGTACAGTACAACCCCGGGCAGCTGGGCCCTCTCATCTCTGGGGGATTGCATCGCGTTGCTTTCTTTCAGTTGGAGGAAAGCCGCGCACGACCCACACAGCAGCAGTCCTCTCCACATCCATCTGGCCTCCTTGCAGGTCCAGGGCTCCTTGCAAGTGTCCGCGCGGGTCGGCCTCGACCGCCCCCGCCCCCCGCGCCTCCGCAGCTCGCCGCCTCGACTTCAAAGTTTGCCGCGCCGGGCCGGCGCAGCCCCTGCAGGGCCTCTTAATGAGTTCCTTTTGTGCGGAGACGTCGTCGCGTGGGGGATGTGACACGAGCAGCGGCGAGCTGTGCGAGAGAGACGGAAGGGTAGACCGCTCTGCACGCAGTGAAGCTCCACTCTCTGTGTTCGTCGCGAAATTACTTCGACAACTATACCGCTGTGTCGCGGCTGCTTAGCGACACAACGTTTTTGATCAAAACTTATAAAATTATGTCGCATATGATGATTAACGGACGTCGGCTTGGTTGTATTTTTAGCTTAGTCTACTTAAATTAGAAATAAATAAGTAATTAAAAGTAAAAACAATTTTTTGTGTTTTGGGAATCAAATTTTCGCCATTACTTCTAGTTATGGATTGGGTGCCGCGTTGTTGCCACCCACATTCAGCTGCACGTGCCTACAGTGTAGGTAACGTAACAGTATAGGTGAGGTAGCGGCCTGCGCGCCGCGAGCTCGGGGTCCGCACCATCAACGGTTGGTATGCCTGCGCACGTTGTGCCTCGGTCAGCTTGTGGTCCAGGATACGGCCCGTGGCCACTTCCCCTTCCACCGATCCCATCCCCCTCGCCCATTTTCACCGCCCACCGCAACCCCCTCCGGCCCGCCATGCCTCGCGCTGACATTAGGACGACAGAAAACTGCCGCGGCCAGAGCCCGCTCCCTGCCGACCGCACTTTAGTGGTGCAACTACAATGTAGCGGAACAGCCGCCGCTGTGGCAGAAGGGCTTCTATTGTTCGGATCGGGCCGCGGGTACCAGCGTGCGCCGGCCCACCCGCCGCGAAAAGCACTGCTTGCGCAGCCACCGCCGGGGCAAGGTTCATAAGAGAATCTTTTGAGGTGTTTAATACACAATGGGGGGACAGAGAATTAACGAGAAGGGACAGTTCAAGACGGTTCAAGACTCGTAAATCAAACAGTTGGTTTTCCATAAATTCGTATGGCCCTAAAGGCTCACAGGGAAAGTTTTCCACGACACATGAGTTGACAAAATACAATTATAAAATTGTATTTGCGTGCCGTTTTAGAATTCATCATGACAAGTAAAGATGAGCTGTCGAAATTTGTAACACTTTGGTAACCACGCAAACGAAATATGTACGGACGGAGACTGTTCAAAGTGTGGAAGAAGGAACATGCAGGGTAAGGGTTCTCGAAATGTATGGGGTGAGGCTGACAATGAAACCCGAACGAAGTCGGCTATACTTCCTCCGTCGAGAAGGAATAATCAAACACTCATCTTCCGATGGAGGAGGAAGGAGAGAAGATGGCGGACCCCACGCGCGCGTGTCTCCCATAAGAAACTTCGCACCGCTCCCGGCGCTCGCGTGTTTTCGGCGTGCGGAATGATTTGTGGATTTGCTCACGGAAAGGACTCCGGACTCCGCTCTTTGGTGCCGTCTCACCGCACCGCACCCGCCTCTAATCTAACCCGCGTCTGTGTGTTGCAGGGAGTGGATCAGGCTGCTCGGGGCCGCTGCTCGGGCGCACAGGTAAGCAACTCCCACGCCGCCTCACTCCCGAGCGGCTCAAAGTTGCGCGTCGGGACGACGCTCTGGAGGGCGACGCCGCTCGAGCCATAAGATGACGGCAACTTGTATCTGGTGCGCCGCCGCGTCGCGCCGCGCGCTCCTTCACTTTGAACTGGTTCGAACTCATCAACACGTGGGGGGGGGGGGGGCTTGCTGCAAAAGTTTACACTCCGCCAGAGACGGTGATCACGTCCCGGATCATATTGCGCACACACAGCAGCAGCGCCACTCCGCCGCTCGCATGTTGAAGCCTCTTCTGACGACGTGAACTATCTCTGGCCTGCTTCCGCCCCCTTCTGCACGGCAGTCTCTTCGGCTACCCCTTGCCGCGCTCATCCGCTCCCCCTTCACGACGACGGGCCCTTCCCTTCCCCCGCAAGAGGCCTCGCCACACCACCGGGTTCGGTAAATTGCTCAGTAAACGGTGGTGTGTGTTTCGTGCATGTAGCAGGGAGCGAGCGTCGTGTGCCGCCCTCGACCGCCACTTTGAAGTGCTCACGTGGCGGTCGTGCCGGCAAGGCTGATGTAGCAGCGACGGAGAGAGAGGGAGAGATCGTCTGTCCGGTTTCTCTTTCCCTCCCTCCCCCCTTTCTCTCTATGTCTCTCTATCTCCTTACTTTGTCTCTTTCTCTCTCCTTTCTCTCTTTTCCCTCTCTCTCCCCCCGGCCTGGCAGTGCGGCGCCCGACCCGACCTGTGCCGCCGGCTTTGCCGTCGCCGCTCGCCTCTACTTGTGAACTTTACGATCCCTGCCCCTTTTACCGCCCCCTCCCCTCCTCCCGGATGCGGGGTCTACATCAGCCGTACGACCTGGAGCTAAATAGCTCTCATATCAATGAAAAGAAAATGCAATAAACTTGTTTTATTGTGTAATCCGATGTATCATGTGATCTAGCGTAAAACGAAAGGCTCGACGAAAGGTTATTCGGTGTAATCCGACCGGTGTCAGTTGGGAACTCCATTCCGACCAATGCCAATTTACACACAGACTTAGCAGCAAGTTGCGTTACACTGGTGTCCGCTGCTTCCGTAGCACCCTCACAGCCCCCCCCCCT